CAACAGCTAAACCCAAACTTTTGCGAGTGCACATTTCTTGCTGTCTGTCTTCAGTGGGAACGATTTAAGTCCATGCCTGAATGCTTTGCTGATTCAGCCCCCATACATCTTGCCTGAATTCATGTGAGACCTGAGCCCTACTTCCCAGTCCAGAGCATCTTACACACTTGGGTAATGTCACACTTGAGAAACACATCACAGCTTAGAAGCCTTCATTTTCCCAGTTTTTCATAACAGCTCTAAAACTGGAAGCTGCACAGCAAGCTCCCCGGCTTCACTGCTGATATTCTTCAATTCTTATCTCACTCTTTCGGGTGGGAATATTTTAGTCTTAATATCTTCTCCAACCTTTTCCCCTCTCATAAAACTGTCCATTAGGATGACAAAACTTATGGGATAGGACTCTCTGCATATGTGAAAATGAACAGACACCACCAGCTTGCTTCACCTACGTTCTATATTACTGAAGGTGGCAGATTTGATTTGAAAGGCTCAGTAACCCAAAGAAACACAGTATGAACTAGGCTAATTGAGACTGCAGTTTGCTGTGCAAGTTACAGCTGATTAATCTGCTCTACAAAGTTGTATTGCTACAAAGCTATGTTGCACACAAAATACTCTTGCTACCACTAGATGTCAGTTTTATACACTTGAAAATGGATAAATACTCCAAAAATAGTAATTCTACTTATGTTCACAATGTGAACATAATTCTTATGTTCATGTTATGCTTGTTGGACTAAGCTTTGTTTTTAAGGATGATGCTTTTTCTTTCCATCTCTTTTGCTGTTTTTCCTGTGTTGCACCAGTTTTCCCTTACTTAATGAAAAAGACCTAAGGAGTTTCCACTTTACACTTTCTTCTGTGATTTATTCAGTATAAGATACCGTGACAGTTTTGCCAGATATCACTGGTAGAACTCTGTAGTTCAGAGAAAAGCACTGAGATCTTACTCATATTCTATAAAGATATTTTTATGTAAAGAGAGTTTTACTTAGAATTGAAATATCTCCTCTGACCAATTGTAGACAATCCACACTACCAGTCAATAGAGGAGATCATTAACATGACTTTGTATAATTTTATATATATATTATATATATAACATAATTTCCAAATTTTTACTTGCAGTAGTTGACTGAATACAGATCAGTTCTATTTATAGTCTTCTTACCTCTCAGAAAAGAAAAATATTCAACAAATACATTCCTCCTGGTTCTGGATACTTGAGGTCTTTTTCACACTATATTATCACTATTTCTTCATGGTCTTAACATAAACAAGATCACCGTGCTGATTACAGAGCCTTTATAAAATATTTTGCATTTATTTTCCCAAAACAAGAACAAATTACTTTACATCAAACCAATATGGGGCTTTAACTCCTTAGCAGAAATGAAGAAAATAAGGAGTAAATTCATTACACAATAGTATATTCATACGCATGATATATATAAGAAAAAAATATATATTTCTCAGGAAACCTCTCCATACTAATTCACACGCAGAATGTAACCCTATATTCTTTTAAAACTATAAGACAAAAAAAAATGCAATCATCTGTACCAAAAACCTTCTTCAAAGACATTTGATAACTTTTTTGAGGCCAAAAAGAGATTTTAAAAGCATCCCTTAACACAGTCTCAGCTAGGAACCATGGCAAAAGCTCTAGAACAAATGTGGAGGCCAAAACTTGCTGTGTCCCATGACTTCTGGCTGCATGTACCACTTTGAAGCCTTCCTGAGAAATTAAATGTATTCCTGTTTGGAATAGGTAGCGGGAGCTACATGTGTCAGCATGGAGAGGGTAAATCTCCCACATGCTCCACACCATGTTACAGCACTTTAGCATGTCTAAGATACCTACCGCGTTTCCCGTTTCCTCAAACCAGGATCGGGCTAGCTATTCCCATGCCATTCCCTGCCCACCCACCAGTCCTCCCAGCGTGGCCCCGGCCTGCAGAGGCAATAAGTCCTGCTGATGCCAGGCACGGGCACGTGTGGCCTAGGCCCCACAGCAGGAGCTGATCTCAGCCTTTCCTGAGCCACAGGCACCCACCCTGCTTACGGCTCCTGACTGCACCTCCGGATCAGCCAGAAATCCTGCTTCTCTTTGCTTTTGGTATAAAGCTTCCCATTGCTCAGCCTTGCTGCTGATAAGCGGGATAGGCTCAGCTCCAAGATGTGTCTCTGCAAGTATGGGAGTGAACATACCTCACACACCTGCAGCACTGCAGCCTTCCTCCTGAGCCAGGATGCTAGCTGCCAAAGGCAGCTGGTTGCCCTACTGCGAGGAGTTTGGGTTAGTTCAGCTATGTCAGCTACTGAGAACGCTGATATCAGGAGTATGAGGTGGCCAGTAAAGGACAGGAAATCCACAGGTGGGCTGAAGAGACCGTAACTTTGTACTTGCTGACTGAATTGGACTTAACTCGGAAATTTAAATGCAAAAAGAGACTCCTGTCTCTCCCTTTAGTTACTAATTTTATGTTCTGCAATTCAGGATATAAATAAATTTCCAGGAAATAAATGACTTTAACTTCTGTATCATATATGTTCATTTGTAATACATGCCATTTGCCAATAGGAATCACTGTGTATATCATAAGCAACAACAGAAACAGTGGATAATGAAAACTTGGAGAATTACTCATCTTCTCCCAGCAGCTACCATGTAATTTCATAAATGTTGAGTTTGCATGCTATAATTGTACTCTTTCCTAGGACCAGAATTTTGTTGCTTAAAAGTAGTAGCAGCTCTTAGTCGCAATCAACAGTACAATTTTCTGCAAAAAAAAATGAACATACTAAATAAGAAAATATGATTTTCAGCTGGATTCAGTCATGCTGATCTCCTCAAAATTCAGGAAGACTCAGTTTAATCCTACTATTAAATGCTATCTCTAAAAAAAGGAAGCAAGATAAAACTCTGGATCTAGAACATTCACCATTTTATGAAAAGTTTGAGTCCACAGTTTCTTCCTCTGATAAGATTAGGAGTCTAATCTGACATAGCTCATGCCTATGCTGAAGGGATCCCTATGGAAGAGACTGCTGAGGAAACGCCTGCCAGGGACTACCAGTGGAATGGCAGTGACAATTACACAAGTTATTTTACTGCTATTACTGAGCAATTTTGGCTTTGCAATCTTAATATAAACAAGTAAATGTTTACAGATTGTAGTTTGCAAAGAAATGGGAGTGAAGAAGAATTAAGTCCTTACAGCAAAAGACATAACTTCTTCCTCCTATTTAGAAAATAGAGAGAGGTGGAAATGGTCCTAGTACTTATTGCAGTGGCAACCTGGTGACAGCAAACAAGCCCAGACACTGGGCAAGTCTGAACCAGCCCAGAAAGCTGTACATCAATCAGGTAGTTCAATAGAGCTCTTAAAGTTCTTCAGGAAATTGATGATTTCCAGGTCTGCCAGATGAGCAGCTAACTACCATACTCATGGCATGCAGATATACAGCTGCTTTTTGTTACAGTATAATGATAGGGAGTTCTCTAGTGTCAAAAATCATATATTTTGTAACAAAAAAAAATAGAAGAATTTAAATACATACAAAAACTCACTTGAATTTAAATACTAGCTGAGGAAATGTTTTCTCTTGTTCTCCACTTGACCTGCTCATCTCACAACCTTGTTGTTAGCCTCTCATTTTGCATGCCTGAGACAATTGCATTGGTGAGAGGATGAGGGAAAAGGCAAAACAGTTTGAAAAGGGACTGATGCGTGGGGTGTGATTCAGAAAAACAGACAATGCTGAACTAAGATTACTGTATTACATTTAACTTCTTACAGCTTAAGTCATAGAAAAACATCAGTTTAGAGCTTTCATATCCATTTCTTAGCTATAACTAGGAAGTCTAAGGAAATGAGAAGACTAATTCCTTCTTCCTGACAGAAAACTAGAAAGAGGATGAGAACTGAGTCCTCTACCCGGATGTGCTTTCAGTGTAACCTGTTCCTGTTGCAATCTGTGGTGACAAAGTAGGCATTTACATTGCTGAACGTGCAGTTACCTGTACAGATATATCCTTGGTCTGCGTAAACAGCCTTGGTCTCCAACGTTTAGAAATTTTCCTGGAAATTTTGCACTGAAAGAAAATCCCAGGGTAATCAACAACAAACCGTACTTTAATAAGACTAGTTTAAAAGCCTGACTTCAGAAGTTTGGCCAAGATGTACAACGCTAGTTTGAAAACCAGAAGTATTATTTCTGCTGCTTTAGTGTAGTGCAAGGACTAATTCGGCACATGGAGATGAAAGGTACATTGAGTTATTCAGATTTTTTAGATGATTTGGCTAAATTGTTTCCAGTAGCAGAGTTAATTTGCTTGGCACAAAAATGTGTCTCTGCACAGCCCTGTATGTGCCAAGGCAACCCACTAAAATTTCCACATCTTCTTGATTCCCATTTTCTCATAGCTTTAAGAGTTATACAAAAGCCTAGCACAGTAACAGACCAAACTGTGACTCAATATTATTAGTCCCCTAACGACTGTTAAACTAACCTTCCATTCAGCCACTGTTACACTCATCTGCTGCTTTTAGTGAAGAGAAGAGAAGAGAAGAGAAGAGAAGAGAAGAGAAGAGAAGAGAAGAGAAGAGAAGAGAAGAGAAGAGAAGAGAAGAGAAGAGAAGAGAAGA